GTTTGCAGCCCCCCCAGGGCTCGGTGGGACCCCCGGGTGTGTTTGCAGCCCCTCCAGCCGCGATGTCCCAGCGCCATCTGGTGCCGGCACTGGTGGAACTGGGGATGGTGCTGGGGGAGGAGGGAATGGGCGGGATTTACTCCCAATTTTGGGACGTGCAGGGCTCCCCATCGCACCCCGAGGGGCAGCTGCACCCACCCCGCTGCCCCCGAGCCCCCTGAGCCCCCTGAGCCCCCCGAGCCCCCCGAGCCCCCTGCCCACCCAGCCCCACCCAGCCCCACCCAGCCCCGGCTCCCTCGGGGAGGGGTTTTCCCGGTGGCCCCTCCTGTGCCATTCCCAAGGATTCTGCTCCCAGGAACAACCCCCACCTCCCCCCTGCCCCTCTGGGAGTCGCTCCTGGAATCCTGGACTGGTTTGGGTGGGAAGGGACATTAAAGCTCATCCAGTGCCACCCCCTGCCACGGGCAGGGACACCTCCCACCATCCCAGGGGGATCCAACCTGGCCTGGGATAAATTCCAGGGGATCCAGGGGCAGCCACAGCTCCTCTGGGAAATCCATTCCAGGGCCTCCCCACCCTGCCAGGCAGGAATTTCTTCCCAATATCCCATTTAACCTTCCCCTCCTCCAGTTGGAAGCCCCTCATCCCTTGGCCTGGCTTTTGTCCCAGGTCTCTCTCCAGCTCTTGGAGCCCCCAGGGAAGGAAAACAACCTTTAAAGGGTCACTTCCAACCCAAAATCTTCAGGGATCCCATTAAAATGAACAGGCAGGAATACAGGAAAAGCTGCTGAACTTTGGAACAATGGAGAGGAAAAATATGAAACTGTGGAGTGGTTTGGGTTGGGAGGGACATTAAAGCTCATCCCACCCCCAGCACCAGACAGGGACACCTCCCGCTATCCCAGGGGGATCCAACCTGGCCTGGGACACTTCCAGGGATGGGGCATCCTCTGGAGAATCCATTCCAGGGCCTCCCCACCCTCCCAGCCAGGAATTCCTTCCTAATATCCCAGCCAAATCCCCCCTTTCCCAGTGGGAAGCCATTCCCTGTGTCTGTCCCTCCAGCCCTTGTCCCCAGTCCCTCTCCAGCTCTCCTGGAGCCCCTTCAGGCCCTGGAAGGGGCTCCAAGCTCTCCCTGGATCCTTCCCTTCTCCAGGGGAACATTCCCAGCTCTCCCAGCCTGGCTCCAGAACCAAGGAATCCTGGAATGGGTTGGGTGGGAAGGGGCATTAAATCCCATCCCATCCCATCCCATCCCATCCCATCCCATCCCTCCTTTCCATGGGCAGGGACACCTCCCACTATCCCAGGGGGATCCAACCTGGCCTTGGACACTTCCAGGGATCCAGGAGCAGCCACAGCTCCTCTGGGCAACCTGTGCCAGGCCTAGATTAACCACAGAGATTAATTAATTAATCTGAGCTCGGAGGTGCCGGTTGCTGGCGCAGGAACGCGGAGCATCCAGAGGCTGTTCCAGCCGGGATGTGGGCTGGGAATGAGCCCATCCAGGTGCACTCAGGGGGGCTGCAGCCCTGCTGGGGGCTTGGGGGGCCCTGCAGGGACCCCTCCCCAGCGCTCTGGGCCCCCCCAGGTGCCGTGGCCAGCACGGTGGTGAAGCAGAAGCTGGCCGAGGTCATCCTCAAGAAGCAACAGGCGGCCCTGGAGAGGAGCAGCAACCCCAACCCCACAGCCCTGCCCTACAGGTGAGCCCCTGGGGACGCTCCCAAAACCCTGGGAAAGCTCCCAAAAAACCCAGGGAAAGGGGCTCCCCTCCCCCGGGAAGGTGACGTGGTTTGACCCC